CAGACTAGAATAACTCCTTCTGAGAAATTCTACCTATCCTATTGATTATATAAATTTTGAAAGAAATAACTAAATATGTATAGACCTAGTAGACATATCGATAGGAGCCATTTCACCCCTACTGAGATAGATATACTCACTAGACATACTTACATCAGTAAAAATCATTCTGAGTCTAAAGGTAACAATTTACAGCTTTAACTTTCATGCTAGTTTTGTAACCATAATCTAGTCTTTCTGAAAAGAAAAAGTAAAGGTAAATACTGCAATCAAATGTTAACAATTAATAAGTAAAGTCTGATATTCATACTCTGATGTGCAGCTTGATATTCAGTTAATTCTGATGCTTTATGAAAATCATTGTAAAACTATTTTAGGATTCTCAAAAATACTGTAACAATTTCCAAATTATTAAGTACCTTCACTAAATTAAATTCAAGCTATCCACTTAAAGTATAATAATACCTGCTAATTTAAACTGAAAAAATATTGCATAAGAAGTATAAATACTTTTTAAAGTAGTTATTTCTTCAAAAATAAACAGCATATTTTTCTTCTTAATAAGAACATTAAATTTGACTCAGAGAAGGAAAAAATAGCTATATTTAACTTATATACTCATGATATTATTGTGTATTTTTACAGTCAAAGGTAGAGGGTTTTTTTCCGAATGAGAGAAATTATTTGCTATTCAAGCTTCAAATACATAAAATGCACTCCAAACAAAGGAGATTCAAGTGGTGGTGTCAAACAGCAAAAGTATAGTGGAAAAACAAAAGCACATTCATTTTCTCATCAGTGGGTAATACTGAATAAAATATTTAATTAAATAATTCGGGAATGCTTATCTATAATTACCTACATGGTTTATTTTGATATTTTATGTACAGATACACACATTGTAAATGGTTACGTTTTGTAGAGTGTAGTAATAATATAAAAATGGTAAATAGTGCATTTCTAAATATTAGAAAGTGAACTCTTTTCCCAGAACAACTAGATCCTATGTTAATTAGAATAAAGACTTAATAATCTTTACCAGTGATAAAATTACAAGGAAATGTCAAATCAAGAAGAAATTTCCATTATAAAATCAGGAATTGTGTGCCCTCTTCTTTTTCACATGAAGAAATGAAATCCTCTTACCTGTCACCCTGGCCTCCAAGAAAGAGCTTAAAATGTCAAGACCCAGCCTCCTCCTGCCCTCCTTTTCATGGTTTATTAAGTGAAAAGCCCAAACTTTTCATGGTCCCTTCTGGTTCCAACAATCTATGATTCAAATAGGGGTAATGACTCTCTTTTCTTGTTCAGTAGTGTCCTGGTGAGGGAGTGATTTTACTGTCCTTTTTCTGTGGGGTCCTGCCGGTTTATCTAAAAGGAAATGAATTACAACAGAAGGACAAGGCCACAAAATAAAGCCATTTAGTTTTACAAATCTATTATGTCCTCCAATCTGTTTTATGGGCCTGGTCCTATTATAAATCGAGAAACAGTCTAAAACAAACTTTTCCTCCTGTCTCTTTTCAGTGAAAGCATTTACAATTTTCTGATTGTCTCTCAAGCAGTTCAGCCTCCCCTTTCCTTATGTGTTTCTTTTCCCAGAACACCTCCATCCCACTTTCTCCAACATACAAAACATTTGGAGACAAGAAACTGGACTTTTCAAATACAAACTGCTGACAACTGTCAGAAGCACTTTACTGGGACATTACTGACTGCAGCTTCAATGAATTAAGCTTGATTCACTGTGGGTGAATCATTTTCAATGCAGAGCTGTTCAGCAGTAATTGGCCAAGAATCCCTGCTGAGAAAAGCACTTGTCAAATAATGCTTGTTTACAAATATATCTCCAGACAGCAAAAAAATGGCAGTTACTGAATAAGTTCAGGGCCACCTCCAAAAATTCATAAACATGGACTTCCCCCCTTACTTTAATTTGTTAAAATTTTATCATTGATACACTTGGTAATAGTGTCCTGCTTGATCAATCTGAGGCAAGTCTCTTGGTAAATATGTCTCTGAACTATTCTATGATAAAAATTTTTATATTGTACTATAGATTGAAGGTTTCTTCCACTTGCAGTTTATATCTGTAAAAAGATAACTGAAGACATAATTACCTTGTAAATTGCTTAGAATTTGTGCTAAAGAATAGATTTTCCTTCTATTGTCTGCTAATCAACACATTCTAAATAAATAAATTTAACATCAATCCAAGATTCTAGATACAAGTTTGGCTTTTTCTGTTCAAGCCTGCTTATTTAAATCTATTAAAGTTAAATTCTAAAAATGACAGAAATACCGATTTTGAATGTAAAGTCACATTTATTTCTTTCCACCTGATGAATCAATGTTTTTCACAAAATGAAATCTTTAAAAATATACATATATATATATATATATATATATATATATACACACACACACACACACACACACACTCATATACAACAGTTCTTGAAATTACTAAACATCTGCATTAGGTTGAAGAGCAAATTATATGAGAGCAAGTTATTAATGAATTTAGGGTGTACATCAATTCTTTCTGTCCTTGTCCTTTCAAAGTTCATCCTGAAACAAAACCAAACTGAAAAACTCTAATCTGACTCACTAATTAAGTAAAACAAACAGTCTGCTGCTACAAATATTTTAATACATTTATAATAACACTAACATGGAAAACCAAAAGGGAAGACTGGATTTCATAGAAGCAAAATAAAGGTCTGAGATGATACTAAAGGAATGATGGAAAACTGGCAAAGATGGGATAAATTAGTTAAGACTGATGGCAATAAAATTTTATTTCTAAGTATGTATAACGTAAAAATTATGTATATGTCACAAAATGTGTCCCAAACAACAGGCACACTTTTATTCTTGTGTCCTCAGAGGACTGGAGGGTAAAATACTGCTTAGTTCTTTTGGATTCCCTCTCCAACAACCCTATCTCACTGTAGCTCAAGTTCGCTGTGTGTTCTAGTAGTTGGGTAAGACCATACAACCTGTGGACATGAAATCTAAAGTGAGTCAGTCTCCATTCTAGAACATTACACCAGATTAGGAAACTGGTGCTACTTTCTTGCTTCCTTTTCATTTATTTCCTTCTCCCTGTTTTTCCTCTTCCCATAATCTTAGTCCTTTATCCCACTTGATCCCCTCACTCTGAGAATTCACTTCTTTCTGTTCTCTAACAGTGACTACCTGTACTCTACCTCAATTCTGCTCCCTCAACATACATGCAGAAAAAGACTTGAAATTAAAATGGAAAAAACGAAAGGGTGACTCTTTTAGGTCTAACCAGGATGCTCCTTTTCGTGGAATAAGACAGTTAAAAGGACCCATAACCCTGTTAGAATCTTTAACACTTTTTGCCGAATAAATCTAGCATAAGACGTTAGTGAAAGGTCTACAAGACTTCATAAAACACTTTTTCAACTTCATGAGGAAGGGAAAATACATATTGCTTGGCTTAATCATGGGAGAGTACATTTATATGTATCCATATCTACCGATGGATATATATTCTCCTTTGATCATATTTAAAAAAAAAAAAAAAAACTAAGCATAGGGTTAAGGAGACAAACTTCCTGGGGTGGGAGGTGGTGGGGGGTCTCGATCTGCCAGGCTCTCGCTAGGTTCCTTGGAAGCTGGCAGCAATAGGATACCAGCTCAGCGCGTTCTCCTACAGCCAAGACTGAACCCGTGCAAGTCACGAGGATACACACGACTCTCGGCTGCTGCTTCATCTTTCCGGTCCAGCTTCTTCTGCCCCAGGAGTGGAAGGAATTTCTTTAAGGTTCTGCGTGTCATGCTTCACATCCACAGCTCCAAACCAAAACCCCAGCATTCCAAATAAGGGTCAGAGTTTTCTATTTTATTTTAAAATTTATTTTATTTATATTTTAAATTTGCGTGATGACCGATCCTGGTATCCCTGATCTGATCAGAGATGCTCACTGCTCTGGACACCCTCACATCCCCCATCGCGCAGAATGCGCCCTTGAGCCGAGACCCGAGGATAGTACTGGTGTGAAAGAGGAGCTACCCCAGCTGGAGGCGACAGGAGGGCGGAGGGCTGAGTGTGAAGAGGATGGCACTGGGTGGGCTGAGCACTGCTCCAGGGGCATCCAGGGCGACACAGGTGTTGCTTCCGCGCCCGGCCTTACTCTCTCAGAAGAAGGCGGGGACAATCTTCTGGTCCGGAGCGCAGAAATGAGGGTAGGTAAGGAGACCTGGGCACCAGGATCTCATCCTGCTGAAGCAAATCTTTTTCCCTCTATGAGATAAGCCGCGGTGGGTTCCAGACGCAACTTCTAGCAGCTATACTCCTCTCCCCTTTCTGCCGCGGCATCCCACCTTCCCGCCTTCTTCTATCTTCGCTTGAGTGTGACAGTGAGGCCACCCCCCAAAGAAGGGCGCCCTAAAGTAGGGGTGCCTTTTGTCCTTTGCCATCCTCCCTCACGAAATAAAAGCTCTTGCCACCCACCCCAGAATAGCAGCTGATGATGCCCTAAATAACAGCTCCCAGCAGGCACTTTCCCCCAAATAAAAAAGCAAAAGCCACCCCCACAACGTTTCCCATCGTCAACATCAAATAACGGTTTCTAAAAAGCTCCACCTGTCCTGAAATTCTTGTCACTGCTTTTCTCGCTAAACGAAATGACACTTCTCCAGGCGCTCGGAGATCTAGCCGCACCCAACCTCCCAGCGCGGGTCTCAGACCCCTCTTTCCTCCTGGCTTTCAACTTCCCCGCCCCCAATCAGCCTGGGTCCACAATCAGGTTCCTCCCCGGCACTCCTCAGCTAATGTCAAACGATGTAACCAAAGACAGCGGAGAGGGAATGAAAGGCCAACGAAACCGGACGACAAATACAAAATCGACATGAGGAGAAGGATTTAGTCCGCGGCAGCCGCTTCTAAAGCTCCGTGACCCGCTCCCCCAGGCCCCGCCTCACCCCTCCACCCCAGGTGGCTGCTGCCCCCACCTCCATTTCCTTACCTTCGTTGCTGGGGCTGGCCAGGAGGGTCCGAAGCGCGGCGCACAGGAGAAGGCACGTCCAGAGTGGGGCCCTGCGAGGTGCGGAGTAGCAGCCGGCCAGAGACGCAGGGGTACGGAGGGTGTCGCCGCCGCAGCCGCCCGGGGGCCTTCGGCGTCCCGCACCCCGGGGCCGGGAGCCCCGCATCTTCTCCTACCCTCTTCTGCCGCTGTTGTCCCGCGCGCCTCAATCCACACCTCTGTCCTCAAGGAATGGGCGAGGGAGAGTCGGGGCTCCTCCTCGTCCCCCGTGGGTTCCTACGCCTTCTGGCACGCGGCTCTTCTAAATGCGGGAACCACAGACCCGCGGAGACAGCTGAAGTTTGCTTCTGGCTTCTTTCGCCTTCCCCCTCAGTAGGATTCAATGAAACACCAGCTCTGCTTGCTAGAACTGTTCTTGACTGGGCTCAACCAAGGGTGCCGGGAGGGTCTTGCGTCCTGTTCCTTTGCCTCTTAAGACTTTTGAAGAATTGCGATTTTTAAATGCCACGGGGGGGGGGGGGGATGGAAATGTTCCTTTTCAGTCTTCAGGGCTGAAATGGACGAGGGTAAGGAAGGCAAGTCATCTGAAGATGAAATTTCCAATATAAAGAAAAGCAGGGTGGTAAAGGATAAAGAGAGAGGAGTTGAGAAAATATGGGGTGAGGAAAAAAAAAGAGAGAGGCGAGCAAAGGCAAAGATCCAAAGAGTTCAAAGAGGCTGGCAGAAGGAAATAGCTGCGGGCTGAGTGCTGACGAGGGGCGGTACTGACGGCAGTGAGCGGGCTGGAGCGCGGAGCTGGGCTGCGGCGGCACGGAGCTGCTGCGGTTCCCGCTGCTCAGCGAGGAGGCGGTGAGTGCGCGGCTGCGAAGGCGAGCTTGAAACTGCACCGCCACAGCGCGCTCCTGCTGTGTCTGGAGCTCCGGCGTCTCCTCTGCCTCCCTGCTCTGCGCCTCCCACCCTCCTTCCCTCCTCCTCTTCCCAGCTCCCCCTCCCCTCTGTGCTCGCAGCCTCGCCTGTGAGAATCTACTGTAAGTGTGAGTTGCTTAGACGAAGTCACACACCCACGGAGGGAAGTAATCTGCAGGCTGCCGTGGTGAGTGTTGCCTAGCGGTCTCCCGGAAAGGCGCGTCTTCCTCCCCAGATAATTAGGGCAAAGAATCCTCCTGACGACGCCAGCGAGGACCAGAGTTCCCGGGAGGCAGAAGGGAAATCAGCCTTAGCTCAGCATCAGCCCTTGGAGAAGCGGGTCCCTTGGTTTGGCATATTGGCTGCTGCCACTCACAGGCTTGTGGCATCAACAACCTTGTCGTCACACAGCCGCGCTTTCACAGGCTCTGCTGGTCCGTGGCTAGTTTCTTAAACAACCATATCGCTCACTGCTATTGACCCTTCCTGTCCTTCCCATAGTTTGGCGGCTTGAAGGAGAGAATTACCGAACGTTTTCATCAGAAGTAAATTGTAGAATATCTAAATTCTATTCAGGCTGTAGGTCTCAGATTTCAGGGAGTTAAAGAATTTGGGAACTGAGATTTGTACTGTCAAATACTTTAAGATGTCATGATTTAATTCATTTATTTAATTAATAGAATGTTTAAGTATTTTAGAAAGTATATAATGTGCAGATATATGCAATTACTTCTAGTGATATTAGCATGGGTCAAATAATCTCAGGGGTTAATTATTTTAATTGCTTGTGTTCTTTTACATTGAGAGGTTTACAAATAACCAGGAGAAAAACAGTTTAAGACAACGTTCTGTGCTTCACCTCCGTTATGTCTTCCTTTGCTTTAATATTTTCCATCAATTTACTCATACATTCGTCGAAAGAGATACATCTGAAGGGCAATTTTAGTAAACTGGCATTTTTAAGAAAAAACTGCGAATAAAAACGCATTCACAAAAATGTGATTTTAGAATAAAGATATCTCATTTAACTTGGGGTCAAGTAACAACTGTCAAGATTGGGCTTGTATTCACACCTAATAAAGATGAACCTGTTCACCAGCTTTGACTTATCTAGACTCCTGTTTGCCTTCACAATAAATCTATCGCACTCTTTAGCTGATGACATTTGTTTTTTGATTAAATATTTGCAATGAAGATGGAAGAATAAAGCTGCAGTTATGCAATTTTGTAAAGAGGTGGAAACTCATCTTTGATTTTTTTCCCTGAAATATTTTGGCACCAGAAGTCTGAAATCAGCTTCATTCTATTATAATGTGCTTCAAATGCATGTAGCAAATTTAGAGGAATGGCAAGAAATCAGTCTTTCAGTTTGGCTAAAAGCTTCACAGTGAGATGAAAAGTTAAAATGCATGTTTCTATTTGAAGACCATTCAAAAAGACCATCTTTCCCTACCCCATTTATAGTTGAATTACTTAAGAATTTCTAAAGAGAATAATAAGATATCTAAAGCCTAAGAATACATAATAAAGCTAATATAAGACATAAGCTGTTTAATGTGGTTTTGAGCTAGCTGTTTTACTTCTATAGGCCTCAATATCCTCATCAATAAGATCAGGGATATAGAGAAGATGATCTTCAAGCTCTCTTCCATATTCTTCGAATTTCTATCTTATTCCCTAGTTCATCAAGCTTCGGCTATTTACTATTGACTACAAAAAAATAAAAGTTTCTTCAGCTTAGAACTTAAAGACAAAAAAGGCTTAGGGAAATTTTCTATTTTATTTTTCACTAAAATTTTAATCTCAGTGTTCCTCTAAATTACCTCATGTGTCTGAATTTTATATCTGCCCCTCCATTCTACAGAAATTCCACTCCCTAACAATTATTTAAACCACCCAAGACACATAGTACTTTCATCTAAATCCTGCGCATTATTCAAGAAGAGTCAGACACTGAAGCCTGATTCTTTTCCAGACAAGAAATGACTTGGTTCTTTTCATGGAAGTATATGTAGCTTGTGATTTATGTCAATCAAAAAATTACCAATATTTTCTGAATGTGAAGTTGGAAGTAATTATCCATCTGGAGGTTGAATATAAAGGGACAAAGAGAATTTAAAATAGAGGTATCAAAGAAAACCTGGAACCCTGGTCATTACACTCATAATTGTGTGATCTGCTACCCAAGATGGGCTAATTCAATGATTGAGAATACAGAATGCAAAATCTTTTTAATTCTCCACCTTAAGTAGCTTAAGTTGTTTAATATGAGGAAGCAGGAACATCTGTAGAATGAAGCCCAAAGGCAATAATCAGTTATTTTTTTTTATCTAGAGAGGGTTAATCATAGAAGGCAATGTTAGTACTTTGGCTTGGGTCTCAATTTCAAAGAGTTATCCATGTGTTGATCTGTTGGCATGCCAGTACTCCTAGCACACTCACATAGGAACATGGCATTGCATGAAAACTAGATCTTTTTTTTTTCTTTCATGCTTATTGCTTTTCACAGTAAAAGGCTATGACATCAGTATTGGTTTGGATGTCCTATTGTTTGCATTTCTTATGTTTGCAATTGACTGCTATGGCCTCAAAAGGTAAAAGTCACTGGTTTCTTGCTGGGTCTCTGCTTGTACATGACTTCAGTACTAAGTTTCAAGAATGAGGGATAATCTAGAGTAACCTTAATAAGGCACCTAGAATGTTTACTACCCTTATAAAACTGTTGCTATATGATTGAGTTCAATGTATTAATAACCCTGAATATATCTTCTTTGCACTCAAAATAGAGCAACAATCTTGAAGAAAGACTTATTACTATTTAGTAAAGGTTTGCCATGTTTGAAGCATTATGTGATGTTTTTACAATAATCATTTTTTACATAATGCTGACACTTCAATCATGATGTGAGTGTAATTATCACTCCCATGTTAATGATGAGAAAACTGAGGAAATGAGGTTTGGTGATCTGAGTGCTAATTCAGCTGGTAAGCCATAAGAACTTTATCCCTTGGTGCTGACTCTATCCAAGAAATGCTAATGTAATGGAAGTAAACGATAGAATTAATAACCAGTTGATTAGATAAAGAAGACTACTAAAAATTTTTACATTAATGACAAAAAATAATAGATAAAAATATTCAAATTCATGTTTATTTAAATCCAAAAGCAAATAAGCAAGTATATAGTACAGATCAGATAAATTAATAGAAGAAAATGAGAAACTAATATCATAAAAAACATTATTTAGAGAAAAAAGATAGTTTAAGGTACACAGAAGCATGCCCGTAGAAGAAACATGTACAGTAGAGATCATTGACCAAATCAAGAAAATAACAAGGTTAAGGATTGTAGTCATATAATATTAGCACAAACAGGTGGCCCAAAGCCTGTGTATATACACCTTGGAAGAAAACCTAAGCAAGAGTCTTTATAGTCTTTTATTTAAAATGTTTTTGTCTCTTAGCTGCATTTTCTTGTAGGGAGAATTGATGAAAAACAATAGCAAAGCAAAAGATATCATTAGATATCCAATGAATCTTTACTATCCTAATGAAGTTAATTTTTCAGACCCACGACTTGCTGAAGAGGTTAGATGTATGTTGATGTTAATTATTTTAAACCAAAGGTAAATGTTCACATTATATTTAAGAAATCAATAGGGCTTGAAGTTCACAATCAAGATAATATTTTAGAAATCATATTTATATATTGAATTTTAATTTAATGAACATAAAAGAAAATATTTCATTTTTATTCAGCGTTATTCTGACCTTTAAGAATTTTTTATCTCCATCAATGAATCATATTTCTACCTATTTATGTGAGATTAAATTTTATTTCAAGTTAATTGTATCAGTTGGATATTTTTAACTTTAAAAACAATGAATAATAATATTTTAACCAATTAATAAGGGTTGGAATATGTCAATTATTTTATTACTTAAAAACAAATTGAAGTATTACTCATCAGAATCCTCACTTATTTATTTTTTAATTGATTTTATTATTTTTATAATACACAGCAACAGTGGAATGCATTACAATTCTTATTACACATATAGAGCACAATTTTTTTGTATCTCTCTATATAAAGTATGTTCACACCATTTTATGCTATTATACATGTACTTTATAATTAAATATATTTATATCAGAATAAGCACTCAGTTTTCTCCTAAGACTATTAAGAAACGAGTAAAGTCCTTACGCTATCTATGGTTATTAATAGGAGTTCTGTAACAAAAAAAGAAAGACATAATATTCAAATAAATTACAGTGAGACAAAGAACCACACTGGTCCTTGTTGGTGATCTAGTCTTTAATCGTCCCTATAGCACTGTACCAGGATTGAAGATATCATAGAATAGTGTGAAACCAAGGCTGATATAGTTTATGGTCAGGCAAATTGACTTACCAGGAAATTCTTTGACGGTTGCTTGCCTCCAGCATCTTGGACAACTGCATCATATAAGGATGTGGACACTGAAATAATAAGGTCTCTTAAGGCTGAAGAAGAAAAGTGTGCACAGAAGTGTCATAAGATTGATGTGACTTAACTATGAGCATTAAAATTCCACTTAATTCTAACCCATATTCCAAAACCCAGAAATATTTGCTATTATGTGTGAAATAAGCTGTAATATTTTTATATTTAGAGGATTTTTTTAAAATTCAGTACTATGCTCAAAACATTAATAATAACAAATCCACTCATATAAGAACAGGCTTTATAACATAACTAGATACAGTTTGTCAAGGGAAAAACTGATCAATTTGCTCAATGACACAGAACAAAAGGGGTACATAAGTGACCAGCCTTTTGTTATCACTGTTCACTGTCTTGTTGAAGAAAATTTTACTTAAAAGTTAGCAATGATGAGCTCATGTACTCTGCTGGTAGGCTGTTAATCTAGAATGCCTTTTGCAGGGTGGCTTTCTTAGTATCATCAAGTGATTTTAAAATGTAACTAGTTTTATATTTAGCAATTATTTTTTTCAATTTAACCAAATAAATTAATTAATATGGGCTAACATT